TTAATTTGGTGCAGATCATAATGCATATTCCTGGTGGTCCAACGTTCCTTCATGTACAACTTTTACTTATATTCATGATTCTTCTGCTTCTATCAACTATCGTTTTAAATGATTTTTATAATATGTTTTCTTTGCAATTGGGTTTGATTTTTTATTCTCCAGCTGTATTATTTCCTATGTTTTTTCCTCAACGAGGTTTGATTTTTTGTTTACCTCATTTGTATTTCTCCTTTTATTTTAATAAGATTATGGGGATGATCGGTTATTACCCCATCCTTAAAGAAAAAAAAAACATAACAAGGCCATGCATTCAAATTCCCCGCAGACCCAATTTTAATAGAGTCAATGAAGAAATCCCAACAAAGTAACGTGAGGTCTTTGAATTCACCAACTTTAAGGACCCACCCTTTTCTTTTTGGTGATAATATCATAATAGTCTAAACTTTGATGATGGTGATGACTCACAATTGTTTACAGTTCTGTGTCAAATTTGGCATTTGAATCAGAAAATGATGGTTCAATTTCAAGGTACCTTCAACCCATTTTTCCAAACCGACAAATATTGACTCAGCAATAGCAAAATTCTCTAAGCAGACGACAACAGTAAAGTCTTCTTTCTTTCATGATTGTATAAAAAGACTAGCAAAGGTTAAACTTTATCTGCTTTAGTTTGCTAATTCTATTTCTCTAGTGATTAAAATACACCACAAACACATAATATGGTTAAACTTTTTAACTCAAATTTCCAACCTCTACAAAACCTTTTCACGTAAGCACAGTTACTAATTCAAGTGTTATAAATTAGAAATAATCTTAATACATAATTGATACTCCATGGTTGTCACATTCGAAAATTTCTGATAAATCTATTCAACCCAATCATGCAAATCCACAAATTCATTATGGTTCTTTATTTCATTGTCAGACTCAACATCATGGATTCATATTTTGTCCCGTTGAAGGGTTCAAGTGTGATCCTTCACCTACCATAAAATCTTCTGTGTAAAAATATTGTATTGATAAACAAATTCAACTAATCTGTCATATTTATACAGTACTTTCAAATCTCATCTGGCCTTTTTTTATTCTTAGAAAGAATCAATTGTCTCTGTGAGTGATGCATGCCTTCCCCACAAAACGATATCTGAATCAAAGATTAAAATGCTTAAGAATCCACATAGGTAGGTTTTTTTATTTTTTTATTTTAGAAAACCTCGGCGGCACATAGATAGGTTCTTCTTCTGCACTTAGAATATAGCAGAAAATATAGAGATTTTTGGAAATGATCAAAATGTCAAATGGGAAAACTAGAAGTTTACTTGCAAGAGGGATGAACTATTTGCAGAAAATATAGATATTTTAAGTTGCGTTCCCATTTGTATCAACATCTATGAAGCTGCAGAAAAAAGCAATTCTGAAACAAATTAATTTACTGATTAAATTAAATTTTAATAATGATAATCATAGCTTTCACATTATGAGCTCGTTTAAAAGTTTTTTAAAAATGGCTGAAAGCGTTTTGGTAAAATGTTTTTGGAATCAATCTTTAGTAAAAATGAAGGTAAATTTTGAAAAAGCACTTAAATGTTTCCTAGAAGAAACACGTAACTAGTGTTTCTTGCAGAAAACGCTTAAAATGTTTTTGAAATAAAAAATTATTTTATCTAGAAACACTTGCAATCATTTTAAAAGTAATTTCAAACGAGTTTTATATTAAAATTTATAGTCAAGCCACATGATATAAGACAACTCAACCAAGTCAAGTAAAAGTGTAATACGAGTTCTATATTAAAATTTACTGAAAATATGAGTATACCCTTTGGAATTCAATTTTCATTAACTAAAACCCACAATTGTAAAATTTTCTAATAAAAGCCCAATGACTAGGCTCCAACTAAGCAATATCTATAATTAAGTATGACTTGGCAAAATTGGTATTTTTGTATGTCTAAATTACCCCTAATATCATTGACTTTGGGTCTATTACTTGTTATCTACATTTATTATATATTATTTCATTCAATTAAACGTTTTGAAATGTTTGTGCAGATTTGGAAAAGAAAAATTTTAGTGTCATGATTTCAACATATTAATAACAAAAGTTACATGATATTAGAGTTTTGATTCCTTATGTAGTTGTTTTCACATTTATGTAAAAATGAGCATTTTTTTTTCTTTTCAAATAATTGTAACAGGTAAATTAGTATTTTTCACAAATATACAAATGTTATTTTATTCAAAATTACCAATATTTTACATATATAAAATAAAAATATAAGTTTCAGGTAAAATAATACATGCAAAATAATTTACCTACAAAATAAATAAATAAATACTATTTGATTCAAAAGTTAATTAAGCTTTTTGCATACACATATATATAATAATATCAAAACGTGCCTAACATATGTAATAATACATACAAAATAATTTACCTACATAATAAATGAATGTTGATTGATTGCAAAAAACACATAATAATAACAAATGTGCCTAGTATATGTAATAATACATGCAAAATTATTTACCTACAAAATAAAAGGATGTTTTTAGCCAATTGATTCAAAGTTAACTAATTACCTATATTCTACTTAAAAATATAGGTAATTTATTTCACATAGATATAATAATGATAATAACAAAATGTGTCTTATGTATACATGCAAAATAATTTACCTATAATGATTGTCAAACAAATATAAGAAATGGAACAGATGATGGTAAGACAAGTATAAAGTAGATACTTTTGTATTTACCTACAAAATAAATGAATGTTGATTGATTGCAAACAACACATAATAACAACAAATGTGCCTAGTATATGTAATAATACATGCAAAATTATTTACCTACAAAATAAAAGGATGTTTTTAGCCAATTGATTCAAAGTTAATTAATTACCTATATTCTACTTAAAAATATAGGTAAAATATTTCACACAGATATAATAATATCGAAATGTGCCTAATGTATACATGCAAAATAATTTACCTACAATGATTGTCAAACAAATATAAGAAATGGAACAGATGATGGCAAGACAAGTATAAAGTAGATACTTTTGTAATAATAAAGCACTTATTTGCCATAATTATGGTGAATAATTAAATTCACCAACATAATTAGGGTGTTGTGGCACAATTGTAAATATTTTGAAAATAATAGTTATTTATTTGTTTACATGACAATTTATTTCAAATTTGGGTTTTATTTGGATGTATAAAACGAGATGGGTTTTTGTCAAGAAAACAAGTGTTGCATGAGCTTATATTTAAAGAACTCTAAAATTTATAGTCAAGCCACATGGTATAAGACAACTCGACCAAGTCAAGTAAAAGTGTAAAACGAGTTCATGGACTTGTTAAGGTTTCCACCTACTTAATTAATAATTAACCAATAACCAGTAGATGTATGTTATTATCTTTGAAGTCTTGCAACTCGAGGGTAGTCACATAATCCAAAATAACTAGACAAATGTTTGTGTTGGACTCTCGCAACAAGGTGTAGGACTCCCATTATCTTATGGTATGGAGTGAGATTAAAGAATGGTGAGAGTTTGAGACAAATTTACACCAATATTATATTGGCAGTTGACAATTCAATATTATAGTGTTTGTGTTTTTGCAATTTGTTCTCTCTTGTGAAAGATTTTTGTTTTGTTTTTGAAACAGATGAGATAGGAGCATTCAGAGAATGATAATGCATGGGTGTCCGATTTCTGTCATGCAAGGCAGCTGAGAGTGAGGTGGTTCTTTTAGTAACTTACAAGGGTCCAAAAACTAGCTACAAGAGTTACGATACAAACTGAGCTTTAGGTTGATTACTTTGATGAGTGTCACATCCCGGCCCGGGGCGGACTACTTCCCGGGCCCGCTCCACCACCGTAGCACGATATTGTTCGCTTTGGGCTTACCATTCCCTCATGGTTTTGTTTTTGGAAACTCACGAGCAACTTCCCAGTGGGTCACCCATCATGGGATTGCTCTAGCCCCTTTCTCGCTTAACTTCGGAGTTCCTACGGAACCCGAAACCAGTGAGCTCCCAAAAGGCCTCGTGCTAGGTAGAGATGTGAATATACATTTAAGGATCACTTCCCTGGGCGATGTGGGATGTCACAATCCACCCCCTTTAGGGGCCCGACGTCCTCATCGGCACACACGGGACCAAGGTTAGGCTCTGATACCAATTTGTCACATCCCGGCCCGGGGCGGACTACTTCTCCGGCCCGCTCCACCACCGTAGCACGATATTGTCCGCTTTGGGCTTACCATTCCCTCACGGTTTTGTTTTTGGGAACTCACGAGCAACTTCCCAGTGGGTCACCCATCATGGGATTGCTCTAGCCCCTTTCTCGCTTAACTTCGGAGTTCTTACGGAACCCGAAGCCAGTGAGCTCCCAAAAGGCCTCGTGCTAGGTAGAGATATGAATATACATTTAAGGATCACTTCTTTGGGCGATGTGGGATGTCACATGGGTGATCTCAAATTCTAGCATATTTATGTGGAATAATTTTCTTAGAGTCACAAAATACTTTTAACATTACCAAGTCATTAACGTTTTGCGCTTATAAGGAGAGCTCAACAATGACGTTTTTTTTTTAATTAAGAGGTATTGACTTTAATTGGAGAGAAAAATTTGTTTGAATTGACTTCAGTTGAGAAAAATTGTTTCTGACCTTTTGTTAACTTTGTTTGAGAGTAAACTGTTCATCAAAATATGACAAAATATGAAATTATTTATCAACGTAAATCGAAAAGACCCATACAATATGTTGTTTCCTTTCAAAGAAATTTATTAAAAATAAGGTCTGTTATTTACTTGGGGTAAAAACATATTACTTCGACTTGATTTTTGCGGTAAATAGCATTGTTATAGTTTTTTTATTTCAACTCTTAATAGTACGAATGAAATTTTATTAATAACGAAAAAGAAAGTTAAAAAAACATTATTATGGTTGTCCATAATTATTATGCTGATATTGTATGCCTTACTGAATATATAGAGAGAACAAATTATGTAATACATTATAAATATATGTTGAACAGTTAGCCAATGTATTTACATGGCTTTTATTCCACCTACAATTTTTAGGTCATACTTCTAGCATATCACACAAACAAAGAATCATATTTAACCTTTGCTTAGTACGTATACTAATTAACTAATAATTAATACTACAGAAGCTTTAAATTGAGACACTGTTGGGAATTCCCTTGCCAGTAAGTCCCCCTCCGCTAGTAGGAAACAGCAAAGTGTAAGGCACCTTCACCGGTCCAACTCGGTTTTTCAACTTCTCGTCATTGTTCATACTTGTAATCCTCTCCTCAATCTCCTCCAGTTTCTTTCCAAACTTGTCGAATGCTTCCAATGGCGCAGCGTCTGCTGTCCACTCGGGCGTGTCTCGCTGCCCCAAGTACACTTCGTCAGTAGAATGCCTTGACAGAATTTCAATGAGGGAAATGCCAAGCAGTGTCTGCAGCTGAGCAGTGATTGTTTTCAAGAACACTTTGTCGGGGTTGGACTTGAGCTCTTCGTATTCAGCAGTTCCCTTTACGGGCATGAATTTTCGGCTTAGAGTAGGGCGGTTGGGGAGGTATCCTGCGTAAGGGTACTGCCCGAAGTTGACAGCTGCATGGAGGGCAGAAGCAGTCCATATGATAGTTGTGCAGATTTCAACTAGCTCTTCGAGAGTCTGCAATTTTGGCCACCAGGGCTCGTCTTTTTTGTCACCGTGGCCTTCCTCTACTAGCTCCTTCCACCAGGATTGGAGCTCGGCGTCTTTCTGGATTATATCGTCGGTCTTGTAGTAGAAAGAGCAGTAGTCTGCAACCCATGTTCTTATTGCAAACCAGATTTCAATCCCATCAACAGCATACGGGTAGTCCTCGATCAGTAGGCGAAGACCGTGTGGAGAATTTTTATCCTTAACTGCCACTCCTCTGTTTTGATCAAAGCCAAGGCAATGTGATTAGAACAAGAAATGAATATTATTACAAAGGTAAATAATTTCCGCTCCCCATTTTCTCCTCGTACACCATTATTTATTTATGCACCTTGATTCTCTCTTGATTTATTCAATTCAAAGTCCGAAAGTATAGATTTTTTGTTTACCTTTTGATGAGATCTGCAGGGAGAGCTTGCTCAGTGAAATTCCAATCCTTGTACACAACTGATGACAGCTCCATGGCATACCTAGCTGGGAAAACTGTTGTCTCAAGAATACCACCAGCATTGATGAGGATTTGCCTCGCAAATGCATTGATGTTCATCGTGTCACGGAAGTGAGGATGCAGAAGTTTGTAAATCGGGTGAACCACGCTTAGTTGCCTGTTTGTGGCAATTACAACTGGCTCACTCACTGCATGCGTGTTCAACCAGTGGCTGATGAGTTGATGGACTCCGGAGTCATTGACAGCCACATAAGCTTTAGCCAGTTGCCATATGGAACCTTCCACACCTTGTTCAGCTGGTGTGTAGACATTACTAATGCAACCAAATTGATCTCCGTCAGGATGAGGCAAGCTCAACTCGATCACCAATGGTTTCAAAGTTCCATCATTTTGCAAGAACAGCAGAGTTCTACTACCGTAGATCTTGTTCGAAGTTGAGTTTATCCGCCTCAGGTACGGCATCAGTGAATCATGATGGTCTAGTATGAATAACTTGTTTTTCTTGAGTGCCTGTTCAACCAAATTCATTTTCACCATTACAATTTGATACAGAACCAACATAATCTAATCGCAAAGTAACAGCATACTGTCAGTTGTTTTTTTCTTTCAACAAAACGAATAAAATATTTTACCTCATCCACGGTTAGTCCATCCAAGTTGTTCTTTATATGTTCTTCGGTTATTGTACTGTTTTGATCACCGTAAACTTTTGGATCTAGCTTGCTTGCTGGCGGAAATACCTGAAATTCAATAAGATGCATGATTAGAGATGAAGCGAAAAATAACATTTAGAAAGTTTTGTTGGACTCTTGTGTCCATTTAGTTCATTATCATTGCAGAAAATCCACGAAAGATTATGCGAAGATTACTTGGAGACGAGCAATGTTGACAGGGTTCACTCCAGCCAGCATTTCCCTAGCAAATTCTTCATCGGTCCTCCAAGCAGATTTATCCTCTTTGCCAAATCAAAACATCACAGTTAGAACGTAGGGAAAAGAAAATAGTGCATTATTTCGTAGGCTATTGTTTGTATTGTAAGGCTCTAAATTCAAAATGTTTTCGTTACCTTTGATCACTTGAGGCGTTGGGAATTTGAGCAATTGTGCACCATCAGTTCGGAAAATTTCCTTCAGCATCTCCGCAGGGATGTTGTCTCCAATATCCTTCAATAAACCTTCAGGCAACGGAATGCCTCCTTTGTAGAGCTTAAGCACATCTTCAAAGCTGTCAAACTCGCTAGGAGTTTGGTCGAACAAGGATTCCAGCTCCGGTTTAATGAACTGAGCTATGGATTTCAGGGCATAAATAAGGAAGTCTGACAGCTTCAAGTGTCCAAATCTTTCATCCCTAGGAACGTAGATGTCTAAGCTCTGAATAAGCGGCAGACTACTCTCGCTGTTAGGATCTGTTACAATAAGATCAGAAAAATCTTTGTGATTATAACATCATCAGTTCATTAAATTCCATATTAGTATATCACATTTATACTTTTTAATAAACATTAACTCTAAAGATACCTAAAACTAGATTGACTTTGGATTCTCATTAGTAACTCCAAAAAAATAGAGAAAATATTGCAGATGGCTAACCTGTCTTAGTTGGTGGTCGGCCAGTTCTTCCACGGCGAGGGTAAGGGTACTCACTAGACCCTCCAAGAACAGGACGGACGTATTTGGCTCCCTTATCAGGTTTCCCCAAATCATTGTAGTAAGCATAGTCATAAACCCTTTCCCATTCTTGGAGCTCTCCTTTTCCATCTCCCCTCAAGTGTACTAGCTCTTCTTCTCTGTATTTTCGCAATGGCAATGGTGTCTCGCTTGGAAGATAAGTCTGCACAAACATAGAGCAGGCATGAACTTTTAGCCTTTAGCTTAGGATACCATATATTTTCAACCTCACCCAAAAAAAAAAAAAAAATTTACAGCAGATACTATGAAACGTGCAAATCATTCGTTACCTTGTTGACGAAGAAAACACGGTCTTTGGTGTATTTTTCAGTAGGGTAGACCCAAGAGTTGCAAACGAAGTGTACACGGCCCTCACCGGGAACATTTTCGAGTGTGACGGTCTTGAGGAAGAACTCACTGTGGTGGTTGTTTTTGATTAAGAATGCTCCCGGAACTCCTACTTCCTCTTCATAGTCAAATGTAACCTTGAATGCAGACTCTCCTGCTGTTAAAGGTGTGATTGTGGTAATCCAGTCTTCCAAATAAGCTGGCTTTCCAAGTTTCCCCTTCAATCCATTTTCTACAAAATTCATATATCACTTAGTCATAAATTAATTTATCATTCAAGAAAATATACCAAGTTCATATGCTCGAGTTCTTTTTTCATCTTTTACAATGTGATGTGATATACTACTTTGATTTTCAGAGAATAGAATAAAAACTCAACCGCAAGGGGATTAGCACACTATCATGTACAATTGACCTAACTCACATATTCTTATGCTCAAATTTTATTAGGAACAACTCTGAAGTTGTTTTATTAGAATATTCAAGGGAAAAGAACAAAGGAATTGAATCTGGTAAAAAGTTAAAAACCATAGTAACGAAAAGGTTAAAAGCCATGTCCAGTTGCATGGTGCTTCATTTTCAGGTTAAACTGGTGGCTTAGACTGGTATGTTTTTCTTTTTGTAAAAAGAGACCAGTTGGTGGTTAAGTTATGACAATCCACATTTTTAAGAGATCGAAAAGATTCAAAGAAATATTTTAGTTTCTCTCAGCTACCATGATGTGAATAACCTAGTTTAGACTGATGGTTGGGTTTCAAAGGTAAGATTAATGTACCTGTCTAATCAGTTCATGACATGGCCACTATGAAATGACTAATATCCATGATTTAAAAATCATTATCTTATTTTTCACAAGCTTAATTATGTCACTTTTTGAACTAAACCAACACCAATTTTCTAACCTACTATTTCGAATTCCTATCCAGCTATCGTGACATAATATCACAACTAGACTAATTACTCCAAATGGTAGAGACCCCAAATAGGAAAATGCCAGGGTGTCAAAAATTTTGGATCATCTTTTATTGAACACATGATGTGGTGATTGATAGTTGAACTTCTTATTTAATGATTTAAAGAAGTCCAACCATTAATCACCACACATCATGTAGTCTACAAAAGATGATCTCTCTAACATCACCGACCAATTAATATAGTTCCTCATGTTGTGCACCATTAATATTTTAATTCTGATTTTTAGCACATGATCTTATTTCATGATCCAAATATATGACTTGGGTCTCCGGTCCGGCCCATGCCGGACCATAGAGGGCTAACAGTGAAACGCAATGAAAAGAAAAATAGAATAAAAACCTCAGGACTGGAAGCAAACACGGTTATCTTTGTACTCAGATTTTAGACCCCAAAAGTTAAAAGGAAAAAAATAGACCGACTTTTGTGATCGAGATCGTTTCTTTGAAGATATGTCATAAAGCTGTTTCCATTCTCAGCCGTATAAAAGGGACACAAAAAAAAAAAAAAAAAAAAAAAAAAAAATCAGGAAGGTACTCTACAAAAATGCAACCCCAAACCAGTTCTCCGCGAGGATCGAAGAAACTCTCTCAAAACAGATTAAAACCGTTGATATCAGAATTTCATCTCATTTTCCATCTCAATGATTTATTTTTGACACGTAAAATTGATCGCGACACATTGCTTATCAAAAAAGTAAGTTTTATCATTACATGTTGCCTACTTGGATTAGAGAGTAAGTAATTTAATCAATTTTGCGTATTTAAACAAATTAAATAGCATTTACTCCATCAATTATTGTGAAAAAAAAGAAGAAGAAAAGTTACCATGTCAGAATTAATAACGCAACCAATCCACCAAAGAAAGAGGGAGAGTGAGTTAACAATCTTAATCTTATCATAAATAATGCATCAAAGAAAAAGAACCAGAAGAAAAATGAAACGATGATCAAGAGCAAAGACTCAAATCTTAAACCAATCTAAAACAAAACTCAAATGATCTCTAGGCTTGATGAAACTCTATCAATTATTCGATTTTCTCCCTAATCATGCACAGAAACCGTATAATCTTGCACTGAAAAGATAAACTCACCGGAATCATCAGCACGAACGGCACTGATGAGCTGCAGAGAAACCCTTTGGCCGACCAACTCATGCACGCGATCGAGAACAGAAGCGTTGAAATCGTTGAAGTCCAAAACATTCTTCTTCATCAGCACCAGAGTCCCATTGATCTTTCCATGACTACCATTTTGCTGGTGACCTGTGAGCTTCTCAACGATATTCTGCAGCATTTTGTTCTTCTGCTTTGCTTTACACGAATTAAGCAAAGAATATATGCTATTGTGATCTACAAACCCAACAGAAATATATGTTTTGTGTTTTGTGAAAAAAGGTGGGTGGTGAGGTGAATCGAAAGTTGAAAGCTGGTATGGTCGAGTGCAGCAGGGCGTCGTGGTATTTATAGGGAATAAAGAAGAGTGGAGCACTACGTTCGTTCTATCACTACATTTTTTTAATTCGTGCCAAGTCATCGGTATTTTCTTGGAAAAAGTCTCCACCACTTACCAAAATTGTGATTTGGCTAGTCAAAATAACAAGGCCAATAAATTTAAGATTAGGAAATAAGCTAGTTTTCCCTATTCTAAAAAGATTTAGGAATTTTATACTATACTTATAAGACATGTAATTATCGATCTATGTATTATAAAGAGGTTTGTTGGATGTTGATTATTCACACGAACAACATAGAGAATACAAGGGTAGAAAGCCAAGAGTGATAGACAGTTCTAAAGCAAGGTTTTGGGGTTCAGCATAAGGGTTTCCAATAAGTTCTTGTAACCGGATTTTTATTCTCCATAGTTCAGGTGATTACTCAAGAGGAATCTTATCATAGGTAAAGTTCGTCAAATCTCGCTAAATTCTTTGTGTTTGTATATGGTGTGTATACCTTATTCGCATAGCATCATCTTATAGGTTTGCATAACACTGCAGACTATCAATAAACAGAATCAACTAAGGGAAATTAAAATCAACAAAAATTACTTGTAGGGATGGCTAAGTGATGGTGACCAAAAAGAAGCAGTGTAAATTTGACCTATACCCATTTCCCAAGACTAGAAAAAATAACAACCCATCAGAAAATTAACTAAAATATTACAAGTGGCCCATACATTGTACTCGGCACACACACATAAAACATACGACACATTACTAAAATTGTGAATTTAATAAATTTATTATTTCATTGTTACACCCCTCGTGTTGTTATTAAAAACATATTTCAATATGAACAACATAATTAATAGTTCTTAATGTTAAGCTTGAATTTCAATCATATCGAATCGGAATCATTGGGTTCCAAATTCTAATCCAATTTTTTTAATTTTTTTTTTTTCGACGGTAAGATAGATTCCGATTATGCTTCTAATCTTTTCCGGAATTTTGGATGTCATCATATTTGATTTCGGTTTTCCAAAATCAAATACCATTGGACCAGAATTGGAATTTCAACCCAACTTTGTAACCTCAATTATTTTAAAGATGATAAACTAGATACGCGTTCATGGACTTAAGTGACCGTCGTTCCTAAATGATTTGGCCAAATTTGGTTGCATCGTTGACAATTTCGGAAGCCTAAAACGAAAGTTGAATACGCGTTTATACCCTGATTTTCTTTTGTTTCTAACCGGAACGACAACTTGGAACCGCAGCTTTGGCTTTATCAGAACTGGGAAACAATTCCATAAGAGCCGTCGGATCTCCAATTTCAGCCTCTTGGTTAAGCTGCCTCAATGGACTTATTCTCTGCAATAATATTTTACCTTTCCTTAAAATATTACACAAAATATTATTCCTTATGTTTCCTGGCTTTTCACACGGGTCTTTTCAATTGGGAATTTCTTTGATTTTTTTTTTTTTTTGGGTAAACTGGATTCCATAAAAATCAGGGCAAAGATGCCAGAAAGATACACAGAAAGCCTACAGCGAGGCAAACAATCGAAAAATAGCATAAACAAGTATTAGTGTGAGTGGTCCAAGAGTTGAAGACGCTGCATCAAATGCTAAAAACGTCACCACTCACACTACCGAGGGGTTTAGGGAGGGTATGGGAGTCCATCATTACATAGTACATGAACAAGGGAAGATGGAGGTCGATCGACCCAAATAATATCACACATCTCCCTACACTATCTCGACGCTAAGAAGTCCGCCGCACGATTGGCCACCACTCACACTACCGAGGGGTTTAGGGAGGGTATGGGAGTACATCATTACATAGTACATGAACAAGGGAAGATGGAGGTCGATCAACCCAAATAATATCACACATCTCCCTACACTATCTCAACGCTAAGAAGTCCGCCGCACGATTGGCCGATCTTGGAATCCAAGACCAGCAATAGGCTTGGAAAGTGTCCCCCAGTCTTTTGCATTTCATGAGAGTGGGGAAGGCTTCCCAACTGCCTAGAGTTGGCGTATTCCTGAGGCCGGCAATAGATTCCGACGAATCGGACTCAATAATCACGGAAGTCCAACCCTAGGAAATACCCAACTCATATCCATGGAGAATCGCCTTTGCCTCCGCCATAGCTGCATTATTTGCTTTGATGTTGTATCTACATGCTACCAGGATACTCCCTTTCGTATTCTGTGCAACCACACCTGCAAAACCAAATCTTAAACTTGGCAACCATCTGGCATCCACATTGATTTTTATGAACTCCAGACAAGACAGAGTCCATAGTACCACATCAGTGGTTGGGTTACCGAGCTGAGGGGTGTTGAGCAATGAGTCGAAGCTTTAGTGAAAGCTCCTGCCATGTTGGAAATTGAGATGACCACCTGCCATGGGTTACCTGGAACTTGATTGAATAACGCATTGCATATGACCTTCCAAATTTGCCAACATGTGAAACCGATATAAGATAGCTTCCAATTTACCTTTGACTTTGAACCTCTAGCAATCCTAGATATGTCAATTAGCCAATCTGCCCAAGTAGAAATCTGATCCTGGTTGATTTTCAAATTAAGAGCACTGCCAAACCAAACCAATTTGACCCAAGGACATAGGATGAACAGGTGCTCGACCGACTCCTCGTGAATATTACATAATGGGCATACAGGTGATTGTGCCGATCTCTTCTTGAATAAATTCTCCATGGTTGCAATGGCTGAGTGAAAGGATTTCCACATGAAACACCAAATTTTTGGTGTTGTTTGCAAGTTCCAGATTACTTTCCAAAGAGAGCTGGGAATAGAAGTAGAGGATGACGGGCTGGGGCTTCCACGAGTTGGTGTCCTTGAAACAGCCCAATGAAATCTCGATTTGACAGAAAAAATTCCCTTTTTCGCGAATGGCCACACCAACCTGTCCCGGGTCACCAATCGGAATTTCCAACATCGCACCATAATCCTCATCCGGTACAAACAGTTGTAGAAATTCAATTTTGCATTCAGCATTCTCCGGACCAATGAGTTTTGGTTCAAGATTACATTTCCAAAAGATCTTGTTTTTGGGTTTGTGGGTAATAGTTTAATCAGTTGAAAATAAGGCATATGCATACACAACTAGTAATTTTTAAGGGTTTTTATCACAAATAGTCTCTAAAATTGACTCTCACCATCAAGATGGTTCATGAAATTGAAAATCAATCAATGTAGTTCTTGAAAATATGTGTCGCAAATCAATGTGGTCATTCCGTCACAATTCTGTTAAAAAATCTATTAAGTGTTGATGTGACACATAAATGGCCCCCACAAGATTTATGAGTTTTTATCACAAATGGTCCCTTTAATTGACTCTCACCATCAAGATGATCCTTGAAATTGACCCACATTATCAAGATAATCTCTAAAATTGAAAATCGATGGATGTAGTCCTAGAAAATACGTGTTGGAAATCAATATGATCATTCCGTCACAATTCTGTAAAAAATTTGTTATGTGCTAATGTAGGTATAATAATTAATTAAAAAAGTTGTCTAAATACCTTTTTGCACAATAGAATTCTTTTTCTTATAGTAGGACCTACTTCGAAGAGATATCCCTTTCATAAATTCTCAAAGGCACAAGGCTTAACCAAGGCCTAAGAGGGGGTTTGGAAATAGTTTTCAACCAACAATAGACGCACCTCGGTTATAACCTCATTATCTCAAGGCAGACCATACCGTTATTTGAGTTACCAGACCACCAGGGAAGCGCCAAACAAGGTTTCCAAGATTAAAGTTGTGAGGATGTTGATCGCCTAAATGTTAACGGTGATGTCCTATAAGTTGTTGCCAATCAACTAAGCTGTCACCAAAGGTGATCTCGATCCAGGTTCAATACAGTGAAGGGCGTCAAAGTGTGTAAAGTTGGACGTATTGAGAATTTTTCTTTTTTTAGAGTAGACAGCGAATGAGGTAGAGGAATATGGACTGGGATGGGAGATGATTGTAGGACTGGGTTTTTGGGTTCACAATTTTTAATTAACAATTGAATTAGTAAACCTATTTGTAATTTTTTAAATTTATCCATTTATGTGTCACATCAGCACATAACAGAATTTTGACAGAATTGTGACGGAAGGACTACAACATTGATTTGGGACATTTATTTGCAGGACTACATTGATCGATTTTTAATTTCAGGGACCAGTTTGATGTCACAGGTCAATTTCAGGAACCATTTTGATATCGCGGGTCAATTTCAATGACCATTTGTGAGAAAATAGGACTTATATGACCCATTTACACATCAACACTTAACGAAATTTTTAACAAAATTATGATGGAAGGACCACATTGATTTGCGACACCTATTTTTAGGAACTATATTGATTGATTTTCAATTTCAGAAACCATCTTGATGGTGAAGGTTAATTTCAAAGATTGATAAAAACCCAATTTTTAATTGCATGAAACACGCATTGATTACTAAGTTAATTAAATTATACATGCATCATGGTGCATAAGGACAAATGTTCCAAGTACTCAATCCTTGGTATATTGGGTATGACATGCTTGATTTTGATGAAAACTTTATGTCAAACATGTCGCGCGCTTACGGTCTAAATTATTCATGAGATGACTTAGAGCTAAGCGTCTTTTCATTTAAAATGTGACATTTAGTTTAGATATAAAGCACACTGCTACAAATTCAATTTTTTTCTTATGAATATATAATGCTCCGCGAACCAAATTTTACCATCAGGTATACATAATGGTGTGTTTATCTCTATATATCACTTGTTGAAACGTAGACTCACACTATATAGGTTAGAATACGGAGACACATACTTTTGATACACGTTTTTGTGGAGTCCATTTTGTTATGTATTTTAACGAACCCACCGTCTATAATTTATATCTTATATCAATGATCATGTCTACAAAAAATCACAAAATTCAAAACTATATGTCCGTTGATAAATTTAGTGCTTTTTGTAGAACCGTATTCAT